GTGAGGTATGTGGAGTTGAAGTCCACTCATCTTAAAGTGGCCAAGTTTGGACAACACTGGCATAAGTCAACTACCTTTCAGCCTTAGATTCTAATAATCAAATGAGGATGTTCATTATTTATTGAGTTTCCATTGTTGTTCCCATTTTATGCAACCTTCCATCATTTAACAAAACAAGATAAGATGCTTTCCGAAGACCAGTTGTTTTTCAGATATTTTCTACCGCTATTGTGGTTAAATAAAAAAACACCCTACTTTATCAAAACCTTAACTGTTTTAGTGTAAAAGCCCTAATCAAATTTACCACTGAAAGCAATGAGAATTACCTCCATGTAAATCTGTTAAGGATTTGAATGCTAAATGATATACAGGATAATACTGGAAATGCAATTCCTACCCTAAATTAACCTACCCACCATCACCATTCCAAATACAACAATAAAGATGCAGGCCTTAACTATAATTTTCTCCTCCCTCAAGTCTTCTCTACAAGTCATGGCATTAAACTTAAAAACACAGATCTGTAACACTTGTTAACCAACATTAAAATTATGCCAAATTCAAATAATTCACTTTCAGGTGAACACACCTACTGCCTGCTGTGCCAATTTTTCAAGGGGTGCTTTGCTTCAGTGAAGGTTTGAGCAAAGCAGCCTTTCAAAACTGCTTCACCAAGCATAGTGGCCTTTTCAGTTCTAAGGGTGAAGCAAAGTACCATGTAGCTTCATAGTGTCCTACTCCACAGACCCTCAAAGATTCTCCCATAGCACTACCCAAGCTTTGGCAAGCACTGTCAGAGAAGGCATTGCTCAGCCTCTTCTAGACCACCTACTAAAGTTTTGGTGAGACCTGTGCAGAACTCATTGCTTCCCTTGGTAAGCTGAGATGGAAAACATGTTCCCCCATCTTCTCTGACACACCCTTGCCAAAGCACAAAAAGGCTTCTTCGCAGTGGAAATTTGGGCACCCAAGTCTCTTCTGGATTTGGCAAGAGAGAAATAGGGAGCAGGGAGAAGCTTGGTGGTAATGGAAAGGGTGTTACTGTGTTACCTTTTTTTGCTTCAGTAAAGATAATCACCTTGCCTGCAAGAAGCAAATCTGTTTGTGAATGTGTAGCTAGCTCATCCTGTATAGAATTTCAGCCCTTATAATTTTAGCAGACCAGAACTGTAAGTAATAAATGTCCCTATTATTGTCAGCAACAACAGCAATAAAAATAAACCCTTTCATCATGAAAGCAAAATGTTGAACTGATTAAATGCTTCAGATCCAAATCATAAATTATTTTTAAATTTCTGGATCTATTGCATACAACCATAGTGAAATATGTCCAACACCCTACAAAATATAGTTATGTTCCTATATGTTCGGGAACTCTGTCAACCCTTGCACAACAACTAGAAAAGATTACCTTTGAAGAAAATACTAGCATTCCAACTTTCACAACACACATAGAGAAAACCAGTTCTGAAATTCTATTAGATTGGGATGACTTTGAATTTTTGCTGAACCTTGACCTTGTCTATCCTCAAGAACTCACAGAGAAAGAGGAAGGAACTTACCATCATCAATGGCGTGAATCACAATAGTGTACATGCTGTTGTTCACAAATGGGGATTCTCTATCAAGAGTTTTTACAGCTGTCACAATTCCAGAATTTTCATTGATCTTCACCCAACCACCTGGATCAGACACTACTTTGTATCTTAAAAAGCAAATATTTTAAACATGAGTGATAAAATTTTATGAATAGTTATATAGGCCAGATAGAGTTTGTCTCCTACCCTCCACTGGACTAGAAATTAAGTATCATGGCCAGTGTTCCTCAGCCTAGAGTTTGGAAGGCATTTCAAAGAATACCATGTTGGCTGGAAATTTTGAGAATTACAGTCGCAGTACATCTGGAGGTTGCCAGGTTAGGGAAGGCCACTGTAGCCTAGTTTTACGAAGTGTTTTAATAAACAAAATCTGTCATTTTTTCCAATCTTTAGTGTTAGAGATTAGCCCTGAAATTTATAAAGAACAGATGAAATTTTCTCTGAACAAGTAGAGAGTGGGTTCACCTCTACTGTGTAATTATGAAAAATAATTTCCCACACAAGAATTAGGGAATTAGATTAGATTATAATGTTTCCTGACATGGTCAAAATCTCAAATTTTTAATGAAGTTATACAGCATCTTTACTTCTTACCCAAATACAAGACTGATAGCCCTAAGAAGGTGGAGTTGGCCAAATTCATCTCACTTTTAAATCATTAGGTTCACATGATTTTGTTTGAAATCAATTGCAGTTTGTTTTGATGTTTTATTTAAAAAATAATGGTGATGGTGATGATATTCCTTCTGTCAAAAAGTAAAAAAGTAAGTTTGGCAAAGCTACATGAAAAATGAATTCTCTGCCTGGGTACTACCACTGAAAAGGCTATGACATAGAAGAGGTTTGTGCTAAGGAGAAAATGTAAGGAAGCAACTTCAAGAGACCTCCAGCAATGTTCACAGAGGAACACCAGCCATAAGCACTCACCTTAACTTGTCTTGTGCTATGTCTGGATCCTGAGCTACATATTGTACAAGTCTGGTTCCAGGCATCAGCCCTTCTTGGTGTTGAAGATTAAGAATTGGAGGATTGAACTGAGGGGCATCGTTCTGATCTGTGACATTAATGCTCACTGACACTTCAGA